TAAACCTTAGGAGGAAGGAAAACAGACTCATTTAGAATATATGCAGTGGAAGGTAGTTGCTAGATGTGTTGCATAAATGCAGGTGAGAGAACAAGGGCTTTGTGTGATAACCGGGTAACGCTGTTGCTACCTTTTTTTTAAATCTTACTCCATTTGTTTTCCTCCATTTATGAATCTTTTTATTCTCTAGTTTACTTCAGTGTAACAGTATCTAGGTTATAGCCCAGCTTGCTCTGATCCCCTTTCAGAAACCTKTCAGGTAGTGGGATCAGGTCCTGGCGGTTAATAAATGTTTCATTATTGGGCTTGTTGAATCTGCATTGGAAATACCTAGTATCTGGTGGTAGAGAGAGATTTTAGGACCTTAATGTTGATTATTTTTGACCTCCTTTGCATTTTTCAGCACGTTTATTATTATTATTATTATTATTATTATTATTATTATTATTATTATACGATTGTCCTCACTTTGAGTGTATATAATAACAGAGGAGCTGTCAGCATCCTGGGGCTGTAACTCTGTACRGTCTAGGCTGCCTTGTTTGTATTAACCTAGCACTGCCCCTGGATTTAGTATATTTAAATTTAATCAGCAATTGCTAATTGTGAGGGTGGTAGATGAACTTTCAGTTCTGCACAGGCTCTGCACATACTTAAAGCAACTGTAGTAAGTCGGTAGCATAAGAAAAATGATTAAAAATAATAATAATTTTTAAAAAGGTGCTTCTTTTTAAGGTGGCCTGCAGCTCAGCACAGAATGTCCTGTGTCTCGAGACGTGACATCTTACCTCGGTTCTCCTGCCTGTGTCAGCTGCGCTGGCGATAGTAGGATTATTATTATTATTATTATTGTTATTATTAATTTTTAGTTGACTCGTCTGTCTTCAGCTACAGCCACTGCTTGGTTTAGCCTGGCCTTAGCAGAGGTAGAGGGGCCATGGAAGACACACGGATGTTATTGAGCGGAGGGAAGTGCCCAGTGTGGAGCCGCGGGAGACGCCCGGTCTGTGGGGCAGCGGGACCTGCAAGGGGCCCTCGCGGCGGCCGCGGCTCCCCCGGGCCGGGCTGCCCCTGCCCTGCTCGGCCCTGTGGCTCCTTGCCTTCCCAAACGTGCCCTGTGTTTGCTCGAGATAAAAGGAGAGCTTGAAAGTGCTTCGGAGGAACAGGTGACCTCACACTTGACAACTTTTAAGATGATTCTTATCGCTAATATGATACGAATGTAAAACAGAATGGAGTCGAACGTTTTGCTGTTTCTGTAGAATCTTTGTGTGAGTAAAAGTAGGAATGGTTTGGTGGGAAAAGYGTCGTGGAGCTGGAGCTTTTGGCGCAGTGGAATAAATTGTCACTTTTAAATGGCATATTATGCTGTGGTAACGAAAGCCTCTGTGCCACCTCCTTATCTAGAAGTGGCTTAGCAAGAACACCCGTGTATGAGGCAGGGCAACCTGGAGGTGTTTCTGCTGCTGCATTTCGAGAGCTGAGATGTGTGTGTTCAGAAAAGCCGATACMCTGGGAAACTGGAGGCAGTAACTGGTCCAGTTAACGCTCTTAAGTTGGTTTTGCTGTTCTCCATGTGTCTTGTGGCTCCAGTTAGTGCTTCGGGTTGCCTGCGAGTGGGACTTGCTTCACAGAYGGGATGGTCAGAGGCGCTTTCCTAAAGTGCATGTGGGAGTTACAGAGTCCCAAACTGTGGGACTCTATAAAATTGTTGCCTGTTGTTTTTTCAAATAGCTCTGTGCGCCTTGAGGAGCTAAAGCTCATCCTAGAAGCGTGTTTTAGATTTCTAGGAAATACAGCCTGGCAGTGTAGGCCTGACTTAAGAGTCTTTTAAAAGAGTTGCTATCCCGGTAGTCCCAGTAGCTTGCAGGAATTCCAGGATCCCAAGACATGCTCCAGCACCCTGGATTACTCTATTAACTTGAGCATATTAATCCATTAGCTGCTTCTCATCCTGGCCAGTACCAGGACCTTCAGCAGAAAGTCTAAAACTGTCAGCAAATCGTTGKTGTTTAGGGAGAAGTTGCCACCCAGCCCCGGGACCTGCTCCGGCATCTTGCACAATGTATCTGAGTAAATCTGGGGAAAGGAATGTGTGGATTTCGCAAGGCTGATGGCAGCGAGCTGCATAGCTCCGCTCCAGGACGCCGTGGCATCCACGTCCTGCTGTGCTACGTTGCTCATCAAAAATGTCAAAGAAGTCCCAGCAGTTATTTAATGTGTTTAATAGCTCCTCCTGTGCGCTCGCAGGAAGAAGAGGTGGGATTTTTATTTACTTCTGGTGACTTTGAGAGTCTCCTGTTTTGTATTCCTTTTATTTTCCAAATKTAGTTACTCGGGTGTTTATAACCATGAGACTTTCTCCATGAGACTCTTTCTTCGTTGTCATTACCTGTTTCTCAACTTCCCTCCTTTCTCACAAAAACAGTCCCCAAGAGTGAGTGAGCATTAGTGTGCACAGGATTTCAGATGGCTTCTTAATTTTAAATTCTCTCCAAGAACTTGAAATACAGAGGAAGGTGTCAGGGTGCCTATTCTAAACACCTAAGCTCTTGGTGCAGAAAAAGGCAATTTCTGTCATGTAAGAAGGTGGAAATGATTCACCAACAGTCTAATGGCTCCCATTACCTTCCTTGAGGCTGGTAGGCAATAATAGTTGAATGSCATTGACTAAAGCTTAAATCCAGCAGAGATGTCAGCATCTTACCTGTCTTCCTGATGGCCCTTAACTTGCCCCGAATTCCTGCCCAGCGCCACCAAGGGGTTGTGGCACACACCTCTGAAAGGTGTGTTTTGGGCATGGCTCGATAACATGTCATTTGTTTAAAAAAGGAAAATGAACCACTGACGTAATTGTGAGATTTTTGCTGTTCTTTTTTTAATGCTCACTGTGCTGTTGAGCGCTGGTCGGCGGTGCTCACCGCCGTGCTTTGTGCTGTAAACTGYCTCATCATCCCGGTCTTTCCTTCTGTCGCCTTCCCCTTCCAGTCCCAGCCCTGGAGGACTCGGCTTGGTGCTAATCCTGATCYGATTCACTCTCCTTCTTGTGATGGCACGAGCAGGAGGGGCCGTCGGATGCGTCGCCCTGCCCAGCCCCGGGGAGAAGCGAAGAGAGGCCGCTGGGCTGCTGCTGCAGACGGATTCGAGGAGCGTCGTGTCCATGAATGGGCAGCTCCCATAAAGGGATTTATGGACAGAGCTTGGAAAGCCTGGGTGGGAGTAACAGGAATAACCAGTTCAGAAATGCATGGCTGGTGATGGAGGTTGAAATAACTCCCTTTATTTAATTTCCCCCAGACTCACAGCTCCCTCTTGTTTCTGGAAACAGGAATAAATAATATTTTTGAAGAAAAAGGAGATGGGGGCAGTTCTTCTCGTGGGAGAAGGGCAAGAAAGGGGTGCAGTGTGCAGACAGGTGACTTGCCCTTGCAAGGACCAGGGCTGGAKCCGCGGGCCAGGGCTGCACCCCGGCCCCTCCTGCCCCCAGGCTCCCTGTCACGAACCCTTYAATCTAAAGGTTTTATCTAAACTTYGCGGCCATCCACATGGTGCCGGCGCCGTGGCTTTGTAGCTCCCCTGTCAATATRTAAGACCGGCTATGACATTACGTAAATATGGTAACTAATGGTGCGCGGCATGTCAGGAAAATCCAGAGGAAGCACTGGGGGACAGACCCCCTTTGGTGCAGTGTGAATGGCTTGAAAACACTCAGTTATATCCGACCAAGCCGCTTAAGGAACTGCTGTAGTGAACTCATTTAAATTATTTTTCCCCAAACGAATTCAAGCCTTAAAGCAATAACCTGTAACAGTATCCTGGTTTTTTAAATCACATGTAACCCTGCTAATGTGGATCTGTGTAATCCGAGCAGGTATAACCTATTTAGGCAAGGCCTGGTAAGAGACTTCTCTGCAGTTACTTTGCAGAAGTTCCATCCAGGTTTTACAAGGCAGTGCCCAAGCCGAGATGTCTGTGTCTTTACGTCAGGGTCTTGCCAGCGTCTGACAGAGCCAAGTTCTCATTTCAGCCCAGCTCCATCTCCGTTACGGGCTGCTCCTGTGCTGTAGGCAGGCAAAGTGTCCTTAAAAGAGAAGAGAGGTGAGCGGAGAGGACCCTGTGCAGTAGGGCAGTGTCGGTAAATGCGGGTTGTAGATGGGGGAATTCCTGCTTATGTGCTCTCCTCCGGGCCTGCTTGGAGTGGAGTTCCCGAGGAGGTGGCTCCTGGGTGCGCAGGGAGGAAGGCGTGCGAGAGGGAGAGCCGGGGAGCTCTACCTGAGCGCGGAGCCGCTGCGCCGGGTCCCTGGGGATCGCGCTCTAAGTCGCCGCTTGGGAAGGAGCAAGGGGGGCTTTGCTCCAAAGGGAAACGGGAGCGTGCGCTCCCATTGCCTGCGGGCGCTGCCCCGGAGCCCCTGGCGGGACGGGCTCCGCGGTGCGACCTCTCCTGCGCTCCCGTGTGCTGGCGACTGCCGGCCCCGCWCGGCTCCCGTGCTTCCAGCGCGTGGATGCGCGGGCCTTGCACGGGATCTAAGGCTTGCACTCTGGAAAAAGAGCTACCGAGCTTGCTGGGGATGATGCCTTCCGATGCGAGCGTCAGTTACASGGTTTGTTTGTCCTGGCAGTCTTGGCTGAGCAGCTTGGAACCGGAGAGTGACGGGTGATCCCCTCCCGTCCTACCCGCCGAGTGGGCACAGACGGACATGAGCCCTAAAAACCCCACGGACGGGGAGCCTCCTGCTTTGCTGCCAAAGCTCTGGCAGGGCCGCACGGCACGTGCCGGCTGCGGGACAGCGCTGGTTGTCGGCCGGGAGCCGCCTGGAACGTGTTTCCTTCTGCTGGCTAAAAACTCGGAGGTGTTAATTCTTGGTTAAATCCAGCCCGAGTTGGCGCCTCCGAGCCAGCAGCTTCTGTTAGATATTTAAAGATCTGAGGGGTTGGTGCCTTCCTTGCTGAAGGCTCTCGTTGAATCAGTCCTAGTGACAGTTTTTTCTTTCTCCCCCTAGGATACTGGTGAAAGATGGTGGATCGCTTGGCAAACAGCGAAGCAAATACCAGGCGAATCAGCATYGTGGAAAACTGCTTTGGAGCAGCCGGGCAGCCCTTGACGATTCCCGGGCGCGTTCTCATCGGAGAAGGGGTCTTRACGAAGCTGTGTAGGAAGAAACCCAAAGCGAGGCAGTTCTTCCTGTTCAATGACATTCTTGTTTATGGCAACATTGTCATCCAGAAGAAGAAATACAACAAGCAGCACATAATTCCCCTGGAAAACGTCACCATTGATTCCATCCAGGACGAGGGCGACCTGCGGAACGGGTGGCTCATCAAGACGCCCACCAAGTCCTTCGCGGTCTACGCCGCCACCGCCACGGAGAAGTCCGAGTGGATGAACCACATCAACAAGTGCGTTTCCGACCTGCTCTCCAAAAGCGGGAAGACCCCTAGCAACGACCATGCGGCCGTGTGGGTGCCGGACTCGGAGGCCGCCGTGTGCATGCGCTGCCAGAAGGCCAAGTTCACGCCCGTCAACCGGCGCCACCACTGCCGCAAGTGCGGCTTCGTCGTGTGCGGGCCCTGCTCCGAGAAGCGGTTCCTGCTGCCCAGCCAGTCCTCCAAGCCCGTGCGCATCTGTGACTTCTGCTTTGAGCTCCTGTCGAGCGGGGAGCTGGCCGCTTGCCCGCCCGCCCGCTCGGACTCCTACAGCCAGTGCCCTAAATCCCCCTTGAATGACGTGTCCGATGACGATGACGAAGACAGCAGCGATTAAGGACCAAAAGGTGTTGGGTTTTTTTTTGCCCCGTGCGTTGCAGCTGGTGTTTCAAACCACACGGAGCTGCTTTTAGGGGGAGCCTATAGTCAGCTTCCTCAGGAAAAAAAAATATCTGTTCTAGCCATAAAATACGCCTGAATATCTTCAGCTATGATGTGCCTCGATCTACAAATTCTCTAGACAGTAGATTTTTCACTCCTCTGCAGGGATAGACTGTTGCCAATGTTATCAGATAATTTTCCAGCTTCTTATACTTGAGTTATGTCTAGGTTACACGTTTGTGGAAGATTGGAAAATGTATTTTCTTAATTTAACAACCCATGCTTCCTTTTGTTTCGTGTTGATATGTCACGTGGGTTTTTGGGATACGGGAGGAAAAATGTAAGCGTGTGAGAAACAGTCATATTTTTGTGAATCCCATAAGATTATATATATATATTTTTGCTGACCACGCTACATAGGGATAAATCGAAACTAACTACAAACCTAAATGTCACARACCTTGGGAATTGTTCTTGTTCTGCTCTTATTTATGACTTCCGACACCAAGCAGTGCCTTGTAGCAGTTGTGCTGATTCAGGAGGAGCCAAGCCAAGAATTGCATCGATGCTGGTACCCGAGAGCCCCTTGGTGCTATTGGAAAKAACCGCTGTGTTCAGAACGGGATGGTGGAGAGATCTGATCACTTGGTCACTGCAGTGGGCGACTGGGACCCTCTCTGTGYGTCCCCCTGTGGGTTCCTGTGGGGCTCTCTGCAGGAGCAGCGTGGGGATCCCGCTGTGCAGGAGCCTGCCGTGGCTTTCCCGGGGATACGGACACGCTTGCTTTACGGAATAGCTTACACGTTTCACATAACAATTTGGCAAATGCGTGCTGAAACTGCAGTAGGGCAGCGTAGCATTTTGCTGCGCTAGCTTCTGGTTTTGGAATTATTTCCCAAATGAAACACTAACGTTTTCYTTTGTTTTCTTGGGTTTTATTTTTTTGGTCAGGAGTTTTTGTTGACTCGTTTAAAAATGACCTCCGGTTCCGAACGATCAGCCTGCACATAAATATCCCTATGGAATTGGCTTTCCTTTTTACACAGCTGACCTCAGGATAAATGTGAGATGCAAGTTACTTCATTCAAAACATATACCCAGGACCAGGAAAGATGCATCCAAAGCCTAACAGCCAGYGCAGAAAAAGTCGAGTAGAGAATTCGTTTTAGTTTTAATAAGTAGCTGAATACAGAAGTGCTGTGTTTCCTAGACACGTGAAGAGTTGTTAAATCCACAAGTGCTGTGTGTCTGTAACGGTAGCATTCAATTTGGAAGGAGAAAAACCTCTTTGAAATAACTGTATGGAAATATAGTAGCAACTGACTTTAACTTCTTTTTTTTTAAAAAAAAATAAACACTTGTAGATCTTCAAGTGACAGTTTCTGCACTGTTTGCCTTGGCGCTAATTGGGCTAAATATTTATTGAATAAACAATCAATGCTGCATATTGCACTAGTCTCCCATTTTGTACACTGKCAGTCGTGTTTTTCTTAGGAAAATAAATAAAATAAAAGCCAAGCACTTCAAAGTTAGGGCCTTTGGAGAGCTGTGTAGCGGCTGGAGCTGCCCTTGGCCTGGTGGTCTGCAGCACGTGGCCTCGGGTGAAGGTCGTGCTCATYTGATGGGCAAGGAATCCCAAATATAAGTTCTTTTGTAAGCACTAAGGAGTGTTTGATCTGCTTTGAAGCACACACAGAAAAGGGAGAGCGCTTGGATGGAGACCAGGGACCAGGAAGAGCTTAAGATTGTCAGATAATCCGTAAATGGTTGAGTACTCGGAGCCGAGGTGACCTGTGCTCCTTTCTTGGGAGATGATGAGCTGCTGCTGGGGAAAAGAGGCTCTTCGGAGAGGCCATTTCCAAGTAAAAGTGCTTACGTCTTGTGCCTTCGTTTCTCAAAAAAGCAGCTTTTCTATTTCAGGAATGGAGCCTGAMCACGTTAGTTTTTCTCCATACTCAGAGTGCGATCCTCCCGCGTGCGTACGTTCCAGTGCCCAGCAGCGAGGTCCTTCCTGATCCCTTGTTTCCTCTTCGTTCCGCCACCAAATATGAATGTGTCCTGCTAAAGCTCCCGGCTTTCTGTGGACCTTTCTCAATGTTGCTAGATGTTGTGCTTCCTTCTCGGCACTTTTTGGAGGGGATGGGGAAAACCTTGGGGAGAGTTCGGGGCACGTCCTGTATTTCCACRTGTCCTTGTACCTGCTCCGTGTGTCTCATTACCTGTGAACGGACCTTGCAGTGTGCCGCGCCGGTCCCTGAAGCTGTAACCAAACCAACGATTGTGTGTATGGGAGGGGAGCGTTTCACCTGAGAACCATGGATGTGGTCCAAGCTTTTTGAGAAAGTACTTAAAAAAAACCCCACYTCTGGTGGTATTTGTATCCCTCACTGGTATTTGCTGAAACGTTGCAAAATGGACTCAACTGCTCGTGGACTTTCACGTTCTGGAAAGGGCTCAGTTTGTACTTTGTAATCTTGTTTTGTCAAATTATTTTTCTGTACAAATACATGGTGTAGCTGCAAGCCTGTATGTGTTCAGTTTTCTTTAACTGTGGGCCGTTAAGGGTGACAGAAAACTGGTTTCGGAGGGATGTTTTCTTCCCTTTTTAACRGCAAGCAAACCGACTGTCAGCAGGATTACTAAAGGGGGAGTAAATATTGTGAAGGATGAGACTTGGCCACGTTTGGAATAAGTGTAGTGGGGATCTAGAAGCAACAGGCACAGCTGAGCAGGGGAGCAGTTTGAAACAGGAGGGAAAATGAGCGTTTTGCAGAGTTTGGCTTTTTGTTGACCTAGGTAGCCAAAGCCCCTGGAAAAGAGGCTGGAAGACTCAAAATTCCTTAATGCCCGTGTCTGAGCAACTGTCTCCCCAGCTCCGAGGGCGACGGACACTGGGTCTGCTTGGAGAGGAACTTGGAAGTGACATTCCTGTATCAAACGGGAGAGCAATTTTATACTTTTCCCGGAGCTCTGTACTCTTGAGCTGTAAAAGCAATTCAGCAATTAGGGCCGGCCTGCCTTATGTAAACTTTTTCCTGTTCTTTGTGGTAGATCTMATCTGCTCTTTTTGATTACATTCTGCAAATCAAATGGGAAGAGGAGGAAGTGGTGTCCGCAGTCGCTCTCCTGCGAGGCTCTGCAGGCAGCCTCTGCTTTGCAGAGCCCATGAAATCCGTACCTGTACTGACGAAATGCACACTCATTTGCTGAACCCGAGGTCAGATTTTGCGTGCTCAAGCCCCTTGCACGGGAACCTGCATTTCGCAGTGCTGGAAACGCTAGAGGGAAGTTACCTTAAAGTTACCTAGACCGTTTTTCTTTCGGGTTTGATGCCGATAAGCTTCCCTTAGCCGAGGAGGAATCTGCAAAAGCCGAGCAGACAAGTCCTGGGGTTATTCTCCTCAAACTCCATTTGCTCATTTTTGAGCTTTATTTACCGACCGTTGAGTTTGTAACTGAGGTTTTTAAGGTCTCTTATCTAGCCGGCAGCTTCTAAAATTAATGACAAGCGCAAACCTCCCATCCGTGGGGATGGGAGTGTCCCCCGGGGATAAACTTTAGCTGACCGCTATTCTGTTTGCAGGAGGAGATTACAGTAGTTATCGGTTACTGTTTAAGCGGAAGCAGATTATGAGTCGCACTATTGAGATTTTGCATTTACTTGCAACTGCCACATGCTGCCGGAAGAAAACTTGCTTCTGGTAGCAGAGACAGCGGGAAAGGAGCAGCAATTCTCTAATGTCAAAGTACAGGTATTTGCAGCAACCAATTGTGGGGACGGAAATCTTGGAAGTTACTGTTCATTGCTCCTCACTTGATGAAGTTTGACCTGTTTGTGCTGCAGGGTGTGCGCAGCCAGCGGGCTCTCCTGGCCACTGGGTGCATATTCTTATATAAGCGTATTCTTTAGCTTGTGTAAGCTGTAAGGATAAAGTTTTAGTAAAATTGCCGTTATGTRTGTCTAGTGTTCTTAAAAACTCTCTCAAAGCAGTTTCTTGCAGCTCAAGAAGCTACCAGGTAACAGCAGCAGCAACTCCGGACCTGTGGTGCAGASAGGAGCTGCTTCCCCGTCCCAGCCCGTCCTTATTTATGCTGAAGGTAACTGGATTAGAGTGTGTGTGAGAGAGACATCGCACCAGATTATGCCCTCAGCCCAGCCAGGCAGATGGTGAGAGCCCAGGCTGGTCAGGTGCTTTCAGGCTAAGGAGTTCAAAAGCTTAAACTTTAACAGTCCGACCTTACGTAGGTAGCCTGGTTTTTCCCTGATGGAAAGTGAGTATATGGGGACTGTTTCATTGCAGGTGTGCGTGACTTGCAAGTAGTTTCATTTCAGCTCCTGGCTAGACTTGATGTTTAGATTTTTCTGTCCAAAACCTGCTGCCTGTGTGCAGATTTAAGCTTAGCATGCCCTGCATTGTATGAAAACTGTCCAGTGTGTGCATGCARAATGCTATGTAGCTTCTTGTAGCACCCTCTGAGGCTTTTCTGCTAAAGCTGAAGGGATTTTTAATTTCTTTTTTAAATACTATTACTTATGGTGTGCACCTGGCCTGCCCCTTTTTATATATAACTTGGTGTTTTGAGCAGAGAGTCTTAAACGTTGGGAGGAAATACCAGCTTGGCTTTCAAACAAAGCAGCCAGCTCTGCAGCCCTCTCTCAGTGAAACGGTAGTGCTTGGGAAAGGAGGAATGCCAGGAAAAAACAACTTCTGAATGAAGTTCTCCCGTTGACTTTTAATGCTGGATAGGGCTTCTCCTGTCGAGCCCTGTGGGCACGGGGCAGCCTGTGCCTCTCGGAGGSGATCTGCTTCCCCTGCTTTGTGGCCTGCCTAATGAAAAGAGCTATTGAGAGCTCCTTGCCTCCCTTAATGGAAGCGAAGTGTGGCAGGGCCTGGAAGAGGGAACCTGATCTTCCCTGTGGGTGAATAAAAACATTTTACTGGCTGCATGAAATACTGGGGCTGATGCTAGGGAGCCGCTAGCCTTGCTGATGTGGGCGCAGCCAGGCCCCGTGGAGCGGTGTGGTGGAAACCAGCAGGTCCAGCCTGTCACCAGGAGGCAAACACAGCAGCGAAATGGCCATGGCCACCTTTGAATAAGGGTAACTCTAGGTGGTCAGCACACAAAACCTACTGCTCCTCACCAGGCATGAAACACAGTGTGTGATGCTCGCGGGCCATAGACCGAGTCTCCGTAATCTTGACTTTGGGCACTGACTTTGAGGTAACTGTGAGCAGTGCTGTGCTCCTTGCGTATAGCACTGCTGGCCGTCCAGCCCTGGCGCTCTGCAGACAAAAACATGAAGGAATTKGGCTTCTCCCGACATGCTCCGTACCTCTCCGGCCAGACCTTGGGGTGTCCTCTGGCAAAAGTTGGCTTTATATGCAAAGCAAGGCCTGGAAAGCAAGGGTCAGGGCTTGGTTGAGTTAGGGCCTTGTATTTCATCTTTATTGGGTCAAGCCTTGGTTTGGTTTTCCAGGTCCCGCTGCATGGTGTGATGATATTCCAGGCTTTATCTTCTTTTGGCCAAGACACGTTTCGCTGCATTGTACAGCGAAAGTACAAACTTTAAAGAACGCTGCCCACACTCGTCTTGGCTTGTGGGCCAAGGCGGAGGTCTCCAGGGTTCAGGGCTGCTTCCCAGCACGGCCTCCTGCTTGACGGAGGCTCTTCACGTGCTGGAGCTTCCTCGCTGCCGTGGCCGCGCTCCCGGGGCCGCCCGCCCGGCCTGCGGGCTGCCAGGGCCCGTAGCCCCCCAGGCAGGTTGAAACGGAGCTTCTGGGTCGGCCAGAGCCGCGCAGTGAGGGCCGCTCCGCACTCTCGGGCGCTCAGGGCCGCGTGAGGGCCCTTCGGCCCTCTGCCCCGTGCGCCACGGGGCCGGTGGTGTCGCCCCCAGAGCGAAACCCCCGAGCTGGGCTCTGCCTTGCTGCCTTACAGGAACTGGGAGGGAAGGAGGATGCGTCCCGGGTGAAGGGGTATCATAACACGGGGCTTTACTTCTAAATTCTRCGTAACCTCATTCATTACTTCAGTTCTGTCCCCACTTCCTCCTCTATTTTGTTTTTTAAGAGAAAAAGGTTGCTTGAATTTTTACTGTTCCAGGAGGATGGCGGGAGAGAGTACAAGCTGATACCGGTGCCTTCTTTGCTTGCACACAGATGTCTCACAGGGAAGTTTCCCGTCTTTTGTTGCCATCCTCCTCTGTTACACACTCTTACACTTGCCCCTTCCTTTCCAGGTAGGAGAACTGTGATCCAACCTCTTTTATTTTTTGTTTTCCCGCAGAAACTTTGGCATCTATCAAATTGGGCCTTGCCGATACTTTGATTTGCTCCCACCTTTACTTCATGCACCGAACGCCTTGGTGTGACGATGCTGTTTGTATCCCCAGTGCTGCGACTGTTGGTYTGCCTGTGCCCCAAACAGCACTGACACCGTGACTCAACGGGAAGGGGCTTTCGGACCATTTGCTGAACTTTCCAAGGAATGTGCTGCTGCCTAATGTCAAAAGCCCTTCCATCCRAGCGTGGTAATTAACCTTCTTGGTGAGGCTCGCAGAGCTGCAGTGCTTCAGGTGATGGAGGATGTGCAGCCGGGCACGCGGGGGCTCTCTGGAAAACCACCATGAAACAAAGCGGGATGGGGCTTTGCGTGGCCCGGCGTGTCTCGCTGCGGGATGCGGTGGCTCCGGGCGGGAGCGCGTGGGGGATGTGTGTGCGGGTACGCGGTGCCCCGGGGCTCGTCAGGCGCCTCAGCCCCACGCTGCCACCATCCTCCACGGGGATCCTCGTGTTTCCTCAGAAGCCTGTGGTAATTCTGAGCAGCTCGCTCGTGGAGAAGCTGAGGCAGGGTGACACACATTGCGACGGATCCCTGGCACGGAGGCAGCTTGACCGAGCTTCCTTTTAAATAACGAAGTGGCTCTGCAGAAGGGGTTGCAATCAGGGTAACGGCGTGGCCAAGGAGCAGCGAAGGGCAGGGGAGGAAGCGGGGGAGCTCGAGGGGTTTTGGCTGCG